ACAAGGACCTTTAGATCAATGCCCATCTATATATATATATATATATTATGTATAATATATTTATACTAAGGACCCCCAAATTAATATAGGTAATTCTTAAGGCCACTATAAAACGCCAGAGCTGTCAACGCCTGAAGTCCAGGCCGACCTGCCTCAGACAGGAACGATGCCACCGAATCCGAGGCGGTACCTGGTCTGGGGGACACCAAGGACTGGAAGCTCTGGCTTCTCGGTGGTTTAAGGTTTAGGGTTTAGGGTTTTGTCTCCAAGCTGAATTTGCCGATGCAGCATGTTCAAGCCTACTGGCTTTGCAGCCGTTGACAACGATGGTTTCAAGGTGTTGTGTTATGTTTCATCATGATTCAAGAAATGACCGTGCAATGTGGCTGTAATGCTACTAAAAACCTACAGTGCAGACACTGCACGCTACCAGGCGCCAAGCTCAAGCACGAACACATCAACGCAAGTGAGCATGATGTGTTAAGATCAATATTCGATCTGAGAGGGGTTTTAGAAACGTCGAACTTTGTGTCAGGAAGGTCAGTCACTTTCCCTAAACGCCCTCAACGCTCTTCGTAACTCTCCGGTCTTCCACGCCTTGTGCGCCATCTGCTGTCGCATCTGTCGCTTCCGAAGGCTCTGCCGCGACCTCCTGCCCAGTGCCCTGGCTTCTTCCAATCAAGAATCGCGAATCGCTCTATTATTCCGGAAAACATTTTTGGACTGAGAAGAGTCATCGGGCCGGGCTGTTTCCGTTGAACTCATCTAGCAAACAAAGCTCAGAGGCTAGTTGCACCGATTCTGGGCTGCGCGTGCCGGTCCTGGCCTTCTTCAGCTGCAATAGCTTTTCCTCGGCCGTGGTTCCATGTCGCGTTGAAACGATGAGCACAGTTCCATCGGTGTGACAGCATCTACGACATGAAGGTGGCGAGCCCATCTAAGCATCCTGGACTGCCGGTTTTTACTCAAATCAAGTCACCCGCAGTTTCTCGACTTTGGCCTTCGCGTCCGCCGTGGGAGCCTGCTTCCATTCTTGACTGGGCACACAACTTTTGCATACGCTGAAACTGGAACTCACACGCATCCTAGGCTTAGACACGTACATACCTACCCACCGATCTAAATACCTACCTACCTACCTACCTACCTACCTACCTACCTACCTACCTACCTACACATACAGACATCCACCATCCACCCAGCCATCCATGCGTCCATGGTTGCCTGCTTGCATGCCTTCCGGCAAGCGTGCATGCATGCAGCATGACAAACAGCATCCTGCATACATGCACGCATACCAGCATGCTTGCAAACACCTGCACAACTGCAGAAACAAATGATGTGGCTTCTCGCTCGACCAAGTTACGGGATTTCGCAAACACCGACGTCTTTTTGGATACATCTACATCCATACATGTACATGCACATCTATATCACCTACCTGAAACCCCAGCACGAATGTGTCTACATGTGGATGCAGCTCTACATCTAGACTGGGATTTGGTTACCGCTCCATCTTCTATCTGCACATGTATCTGTGTCTGTGTCAATATGCCGGTGAGAATCTCTGAATGCATCAAAGTCAGCACCACTGCACGCCTGGGTGGCAACGGCGGACAAGGCGGCCGGCATGGCAGTGACGGCGCAAATGTCGCCCCAGCCATGCGGGGAAAGCGTCAAGCTAGCAATTCGGCATTTCCTTCTCGATGGTGGGCATGCCCATGGTTTTCACTTCCAATGCTAGGTCTTGTGTTGCCGGCCATGGCACCTCACACTTCGGGGTGGGCGGGTTTGCAATACAGAATCTGCAGCAACGCTTGCAGAAATGAAGCTTGATGTTGGGCACATATGCTGAGCCACACAATAACGATCAACAATGTAAAGCATGAGCTGCAGTGACCTCCAGTACATTGCGTTCGGTTGAATAAACAGATAATCCACGGGAGTTTGAAGGTATATACCGCTAAGCTCTGAGAATGTTTGTTCAAGATCAACAATGTCCCTCGCAGGTGTCCCCATCATATGCACGGATGCGACCGGTCGGGTTGGCAGTCGGACTTCAAGCAGTGTTTGCTCCGTTGATTTTTACACTCGCCGAAAGTCTTCACCGTCGCTGCCCCAGTCCCACGTTTCTACCGAATCCCCAGGCTCGCTCCATCGAGAAATCCAACGAGAAGCAGGCAACAACCCGGACTCTCGTTTGTTTTTGGTTTTTTCACCACGCACCTTATCGCACCTTGCTACTCGTGAGCGTCTTCTTTTCGCCTTTGCGGACTACTTCCACGACTGGGGCTGCCCTCCTCGTCCATGCTCCAGCCTCCAGCAGGCTGGGGGCTGAGGCAGCGGGCTGGCTGCCAGGACATCCCTTAAAGGGAGATTCTGGCCCTGTCGCGGGGGTCCAGCTATTCACTGACTTCATGCTCAAATAGCGTGCGTTTGTACTAGTTTGTACGGCATGGCGCCGAAACCCGCGCTGCCTGAGTGGCCCTGCATGCATGGCGCAGCTCAAGTCCGAAATAATCGAAAACGGCTAGTTTGCAGTGGCGGGGCCGATCTCGATTCTGCTAGTACTAGTACTCAGATGCTGCTGCCTCCTACTCCTACTCCTACTCCTACTCCTACTCCTACTCCTACTCCTACTCCTGCTCCTACTCCTACTCCTACTCCTACTCCTACTCCTACTCCTACTCCGACTCCTACTCCGACTCCGACTCCGACTCCTACTCCTACTCCTACTCCTACTCCTACTCCTACTCCTACTACTCCTACTACTACTACTACTACTCCTAAGGGTTTCGGCTGGAGCCTCGTTGTCGAGTGAGGGCTGG